TCCAGAGATATAAAATCCCCTTAGAGCTGGAGTTACAAGCAGTTGTAACATGGGTGCTAGCAATTGAACTTGGTCCTCAACATGAACAGTATGTTCTCTTAACATTTGAGACTTAACTACTTGTAGCACCTGCACTACAATCTGTTCCACGAATTGGGCAAAGGCCTAGAGATTGAAATAAAGAGACAAGATGGGGACATTCGTTCGATGGCAATGTCAGAACGCCGAATGCCATTTATTGAGGGGATGGAACGGGCTTAAATACTGACTTAGAGCAGTGGAAAACTACAGAAATTTTAGGCTTAGCTCCTCCTCACAAGGTGTATGTTGTCACAAGGTGTGTGTTAATAAAACGGGAAGAGTACCAACAACAGCCTTGGGGCAAGGAGTTCCAGCCAACAGCTTCAGGCTTGCTCAAGGTAGGGGAGGGGGGTGGGGTTGGTTCTTATTTTTAATTTTCTTCTTTTTTAAAATTTATTATTAACTTCAAAGGTGTTTGCTGTTATCTTTTTGAAAAGAAAAGGCCTGGTTTCCACTGTTCTAGTCAAGTTGTGGAAGTTCTAGGTATGTCTCATACTCAGTATTTAGCATGGAGGCCAACAAATCCCCATTATGCTTGTATCTAGCTTAAACTTTGCTCCAGATTTTGCTCAGGGCCTGGTGAGCGTATAGACTGGTGGCAATTGAGGAACTGTGTTGCCTTGTGACCCTGGCTGTATCCATTTTCAGTTTATCTTGCTGTGGGTCCTGTGGTGAGAATCAGTATCTCCCATTTGGCTTCTCCCATTCTGTAGCGGCTCTGTTGTGCCTTACTCTGCAGTCAGCACTGGTGGCGTATTTATTTATGCTTATTTGTTTTTGATACAAGGACTTACTCTTGTTTAGGCTGGTCTTGAACACCTGGCCTCAGGTTCTTACTTCTTGTGGTCTATTCTTTTTACTCTGTGCTGTCCTTCTGGTGGGCTATTGAGCTAATTAATATACTGCTGTTAGGTTTTTTTTTTTTTTTTTCCATCACTGTTTCTACTGTATATCAGTTCATTACTTGAATATTATTTTTAGATGACTGTTCTGGGTATTATAGGAATCTTTGGATTGTGGCTTTCTAAGAAAAAAATCAAACAAAATAACTCTTGTGCCTTACATTTACAAATATACAGGGGGAGAGAGGGAGGAGAGTGAGACTGGCTGACTTCACATTCTGGGTGGATGGACATTATAGTACATAGGTGTCCTGGAGCCAACAATTTGTAGAATCTTAACTTATTAAAGGCGTCTTCTATCCCTAATGTTAAATTAATTTTATTACTTTCAGACGTAATAACAGTAATATTAACAACCACATACATTTTCATAGCCTATATTAGCAAAACTTTTCTTTTTTCTTTTTCTTTTTTTCTTTTTTTATTTGGTGTTAGGAGACAGGGTTTTTCTGTATTGCCTTGGAGCCTGTTCTGGAACTTGCTCTGTAGACCAGGCTGGTCTCGATATTACAGAGATCCCTCTGCCTCTGCCTCCTGAATGTTAGGACTAAAGGTGTGCACCACCTGGCACATACATTTTTATAGCCTGTTAAAATATTTTAAGCAGCTTCTCTCTCAGCAGGGGAAAAATAATAAATCAACCAAATGAGCTGTCTTACTCATTCAGCACAGATTGGTATTTGAATTGAACACATGACTATTTGCAGGATTGAGGCTTCGTTTGGGAGCATACTGGCAGACATACTCAGTGAGTCACACCATCTGCTTACAGTCATACCTGCTGGTGGTCATTAAAACAAAACTCCTGGGGATCTGTGTATGACTTAATTACACTGTAGAAACATATTAGACTGCACTGGCAGGTTACTTTGGAACTTAAAGCCAATTAACTGGCATACTTCCTCTCAAAACATCTCTGTTGCACTTACTGAGTCAAAAATGTTGGTTCAAATTTGGAGACTTAAAATCTGTATTTTTAGAGTTTAGGGTAGGCATTGCTTTAGTATTGGCTATGAAAAAAAGATGTTTTTTTTTTTTTTTTCCCCTAATACTTTTTTCAAATGGTATGACTTATTTCATTATAAAGAACTGTTTTGTAAGCACTGTATTCATGTGATAAGTTGACTAGCATGAAGAGAAGTGGCATCAGCCAATCCAGGAGTACATGCTAAGAATATATCAGTTTTGATCCATTAAGAATTCTGGCCTCCTCTCCCCTCTTTCCTCCTCTCTTCTCCCCTCCCCTTCTCCTTTTAACCCCCTTTTCTGGACAGGGTTTCTCTGTGTTGCCCTGGTTGTCCTGGAACTCTGTACACCAGGCTGGCTTTGAACTCACTGAGATCTGTCTTGATTCTGCCTCCCAAGTGCTGGAATCAAAGGTGTGCACCACCACTGACCTTATTAATTTTTTTTGTTTTGTTTTGTTTTTGTTTTTTGAGACAGGATTTCTCTGTGTAGTTTTGTAGATCAGGCTGGCCTTGAACTCAGAGATCATCTGCCTCCTGAGTGCTGGGATTAAAGCATGTGTCACATGGTCTGGTGACTCTATTCATTCTTTATTTCACCATTTTACATGGCTTTTTTTTTTTTTTAAAGCCATTTCTTATTTGAGAGGCAACTGGATTGTTTCTAATTTCTGTTATATGTGAATAGAGAAGGTGTAAACAAAAGTTGACAAGTTTAGGGGCATTATTTGTGACCTTTATTTACTACAAGGTCATGTAGCAAGGGGTGTGTGTGTGTGTGTGTGTGTGTGTGTGTGTGTGTGTGTTATTAAAAAGTAACAGGCTTGTCCTGATGTTCTCTTTCCAGTGGTTTTAGAAACTGCAAATTCCATATTTTATAATCACAGTTGAAAGAAACAGTTCATACTATCATTCTGTGATTAATGAGTATTTTTACTTTGATAATATACAATTGTTGGAAATATGAAATGCTTTCACAAGTAGTATTGCTAAAATCTTTAAATGGGTCCTTCTTACAGATCTTCTTTGTATGTTTAAATTTGCCTCTGTTTGCCGGGGTCTGTGTTTATTCTTTGCATCTCAAAAACTTTGTACAGCTTTTTGTTCTTGTTTGTTTTTTCTCCCTTTTCCTCTCTTTTCGGATAGAGTTTCTCTGTGTAGACCAGGCTGACCTTGAACTCAAATAGACTTACCTGCCTCTGCCTCCTGAGTGCTGGTATTAAAAGCATTTGCCACTGCCACCCAGCCTATACTTTTGTTTTCTTAAAATGTATATGATGTAAGTTTCTTTAGTAAAAAGTCTCCTGGATAAAAACTTTTTTTTTTAAAGTCTGAAACTACTGCCATTTTTATTTTGCTCTTCAGTAATGGCTTTTCTGGATCACAACAGTTACTTAACCATGTGAAAATAATATTCTTATTCCCAATGAAAAGTGGTTAAAATTTAGTCTTTGAAATTTTGACATAATGTTTCTAAGTGTAGATTATATTTTCCACAATTTTGTTAAGCTCGTTTATTAGATCTGTAAAATCTCAGCCATTACCCTTTCAGATACATCTTTTGTCTCTATCTGTAGAACTGGCTTTAGATGTCTGTTAGGCTTCTTGTATTCTCCTTTTTTTTTTTTTTTTTTTTTTTTTGTCTTTATGTTACCTTCTGGTTTCTTTACCCCCCCCCTTTTTTTTTTTAATTTTCTGTCTTGTTCATTAATTTTCTCTTCAGATATGTTTATTTTGTTTTTGTTTGTTTGTTTTCAAGACATGATCTCATTATGTAGTCCTGGCTATCCTGGAACTGTGTGTGGACTAAGCTGGTCTCGAATTTATAGGATCCACCTGCCTCTGCCTCCTGATGCTGGGATTAAAGGCGTGCACCACCATGCCCAGGCCCCAGGCTCAGGTGTGTTTAATCTGCTTTTTTAACAGGTTTGCAGAAACTTAACTTTGACATTTGTAAGTTTTCTTTTCAGAAAACTGAGATGTCCTATCTCCCGCCTCACTGTTCTCCCTCCTGGGAGATGGCTCAGCAGTCATGAGACTGACCGTTCTTTCAGAGAGCGCAGAGGGCCTCCTCTGGCACCTGCACTGGCATCTGGAATCTACGTATCCCCCCTCCCTCTCTCCCTCTCGTCCTCTCTCCCTCTCTCTCTCTCACACACACACATACACACATTATAACAAATAAAATTAAGGAACAAAACTAAGTGGGTTGTCTGCCATACTGTTAGGATCCAAATGAGATTAAATATACTAAGTGCTTGTGGGCTTTGTAATTATTTTCTTTTATATTATGAACTTACATTTTTCTGGCCAGTTGCTTTGCATAATATAGTACATTCTTGGTTATTTGTTGCTGATATTTTTTTTATCCTTTAAATTTTTTAACATTTATTTTGTGTTATGTGGGTCAGAGGTCATGTGTGTGACTAGTGGGAGTCAGCTGTTCTCACTATGTGAGTTCTAGGGGTTGATCTCTGCTCACCAGTGGCTTACCCTGCTGAGTCAGCTCAGCAGGATACATTTTTAATTTTAAAAAAAATCCCCTCCCCAATGCCTACTTCCTCTCACTTTGCTACTTTGTCTCTTCTTATTCCAGAAAAGGTTTTACTTTTCTGTAGTCCTTGTACATACTTTTTTAAAGAGAGTTTTATCTGGGCCAGCTGTAGAGCAGTGTGATACTTGCTGCCAAGCTTGATGACATGAGTTCAGTTCTTAGGACTTGGACCAAAATGGTGGAAGGAGAGAACTTACTGCTGCAGATTGCCCTCTGACCTCCACATTTGCGTTTCTGTGGTGAATATAGCAAGTGCACCCATCCACAATACAAATAATTTTTAAATGGAAATGAATCTAATGTAAAGCAAAGGAGTATGGTGACAGTTTGAATGCTAGAACTGTGGATTCTGACTAAATTTACCTGTTTGATAAGCAGTAGCTTAATAGTAAATAATTCTGTTTATGGAATGAAATTACTTATAAGTTTAGTATACTAAAATGTTTTGAATAATTTAAAAATGTGCAGTACTAAATTATAAAATATTTTATCTTTTAGGAGAGGATTAAATCCACCTCACAGGGTGAAATCTATCTCTATGACAACATTTACTCAACAGGAAATTGAATTCCTGCAAAAACATGGGAATGAAGTAAGTATTTTGCAATGTTCAACTTTGTTGCAGTCATTTTAGTAAGTTGCTTAAAATGATGTTTCCATTTGATAACGCATTTAATGCCTAAGTGTTTTACTGTAAACCTAGGTACTTAAAATACTTAGAAGTAAAACATAGGCACTTGAAACAGTAGTGTTGGCTGTAGAAGGCAGTTTTGGTGGGTGTCAGTATCTTGGGAGGAGGAAGAAGAGGAGCTATGTAAGAAGTATGGGTTTTTCCTCCCGCCACTGGTCTTGTCCCGCTGCCGTGCCAGCCCCAAATAATACACAGAAACTCTGTATTTGATACAATGTTGTTGGCCAGGTGCTAGTTTCTTATTGACTAGCTCTGTCTTAATTATTAACCCATTTCTATGTATTTCTCTTACCGGGGAGCCGGCGGCATACTGCTTTCTCCCGACTCTCCATCTTGGCTCCTCCTTCCTACTTCTATTTCCTCCTTGTCTCCTAGTCTCTCCTATCTTCCTTTCCTATTGGCCAACAGTGCTTTATTATTAACCAGTATGAGAAACATATTTACATAATTGCATCTCCCATCAGAGCTAGCTCTGTAATACTATACTAAACTTGTTACAGTGTTATGTAATGAACTCCCAAGGTCATTTCCATCTTTTTAAGCTAATATTTTAATTAGATGTATGTGATGTGTAGTGCTTAGCAGGTGCTCAACAAGGAGAGTGTCCCTAGTTCAGGAGGGCAACATAGTTTAGGGGAACTGATTCCTGTGACCTCTTCTGGGCTCTCGTAATCCCATGCATGCTGTTTGCGTATTGATTTTTAGATTTGAGTTTTGTTGCTAATAAAAGTAGTGACTTTTAATCTCAGGGTCGTGGGTTCGTGCCCCACGTTGGGCGCCATTTGTAAGAGTACGTTTTTTCCACCCGCTGTCTGGTCTTGTCCCGCTGCCGTGCCAGCCCCAAATAATGTACTGAGACTCTGTATTTGATATAATGTTGTTGGCCCATTATTTGTTTCTTATAGGCTAGCTCTGTCTTAAGTGTTAACCCATTTCTATGTATTTCCACGTGGTCTTCTTACCGGGGAGTGAGGCAGGCGTCTGGTCTCCCCGGTCTCTCCATGCTGACTGATTCCTCCTTACTACTTCCTATTCCTCCTTGTCTCCTAGTCCCTCCTATATTCCTTTCCTATTGGCCAACAGTGCTTTATTCATTAACCAGTATGAGAAACATATACAGAATGACATCTCCCATCATCTCCTCTTTTCTGTCTAAATAAAAAGAAGGGTTTTAACATTAACATAGCAAAATATATCACACAACAGTTATAAAATAAGAATCACAGTTAACAATATTTAGTCCATTAACATTTAGCAAGATTAAAAGAAACTATTCTATCATCCATCCTATATTTGTGAGTCTAAAGTCCTATATGTAACTTATCTTTAAGCTTAACTAAGGAAAACTATAAATATAACTATCTGTCTTCAACTCCTTCAAAGACCACAGAAGGATAGTATATAAACTCTAGAAATGACAGACACATCTTGTGGCGTGGTCAGTGCCACAGAAGGACTATCTCACTACAGTACATAATTACTAAGGATGATTAGAGTAGGTTCTTGTTTCCAGCCTCTCTTTCTGTTTTTATTTGATGTTTTTGAGACAGTCTTATTACAGAGCCCAGACTTCACTCCCAAATCCTGTCTAGCTCAGGTAGGCCTCAAAAACCACAGTGGTTTGCTTGTCTCAGCATTTGAGTGCTGGGATTGTAGGCATGTGTGTCCATGGCTGTCTACTTTATCTGTGTTTTTATAACTAGAACCTGTTTGAAAAAAAATAGTAACTAAAGGTCCCCACATAGGACTAGGAAAAAAAAAGTTGTTGTAGTTTTCATTTCATTACTACTAATTTATGAATCCTGTGACTATAGGCAAATGATTTTTTCTCTCTTGAGCCTCATTTTCCTTTGTAGTCTATAATGAATTCTGTATTCATTGTCTTGAAGAACTTGAAGAGGCTTGAAGAACAGTATTTTAAAAATTGATATATTATGTTGATGTAAGCTCGCACTTTTATGTGGGAAGATACTTTTCTGATTGATTCCTAAGTTTAGAAAATAATTATCACATAGGAACATGGTGTGCTTTGAGTAGAATTTAGTGTACAGGGAGTTTGCAGAAATCTTTCACTGAAGGCAAACAGATTGTCATTTAAACCTGCCCTGTTGCCTCCTTGACAGCACCGTACAGTAATGTTCATTTGCCTCCAGTGAAAGACTTCCTTTATTTTATAGCATTATTTCCTGTGTACTTTGCAATGCCTTCATCTAAAATAAGCCTCAGTTGGACTCTTTATATGTTATTCTTGGATGTTCGGCTGGTGTCATTGTTAATCCATGTTGCTCCTATGTTAGGAATCAGCAGGAACCAGCTGATGTTTTCTATGAAGCATGAGATGTAAATACTTTCAGGTCTTTGTTGGAACTGATCAATACACTTATTGTAGCCTAAATTAGTCAAATCCTGAGAAGCAAGTAGGCGTGGCTATTTCAGTAACAGTCTATAAAGAAGACCGTAGGCCAGATATAGTTCACAGGATGTGATTTCTGACCTGTGGCCTATATATAGGAGAATTTAGATCACTGAATTTATTATTTCTGCTTAAATAAGTTGGGAAACTAAATGTTCTAGGTCAGCATACACATTTTAGGTGGAACAGAGGAGAAAAACATTTCGCTCTATGGATGCTTCAGGGAGGTAGGAAGATGCTTTTACTCAAGTGTCTTGTGCCTGCTGGACCTCAGGTGGAGCAGGAATAATGCATTAGACAGGAGGTTCATTTAAAATCTGTCACATAGAGGTCATGACACATCTGGTTTTGGTGTATCATTTTCCCTTTGGATTGGATGGGCAGGGAGAACTTGCTGATGAGCACAGTATGTCTGGAAGGAGCAGTCTCTTTGAAGAGTTATCTAGGGTCAGGATTTGTTGGGTCTGTTTGATAGGATAAGCACTATGATGCTATTTTTCAAGGAGGTCATTATAAGGCAAAGAATTATAAACTAAAACATGGAAACAAAGCCCAAGGATAAAATAAGGAATTTACGTTTGGTCCCTCTGTAGTCTCATATTCCCCTCACATGATTATGTGGCTGGGTTATAAATATGTGTCCCTGGTCTGCACAAACTGTTTCTGCCTATTTTCATACAGTTGTGTATGCGTTAATTCTTGCTAGCACATTATAAAATTATAAAAGGCAAAATGTTAAGATAGAATATAATAGTTTCTGAAAAATATGTAAATGTAGAACTGTTAATTTTTTTGCACGAGACATGGATAATAATGATTGTTTTTTGTGTTTGCAAGCATTGTTCAGTTTATATACTATTTGGATACTCTACCACTGAGAAATATGTAACAGCTGGTACTTTAGAACACTAGCTTAGTCACGTGAATTAAGCTTGCTGTGTGTGGAAATGTGTATATTGTATTTGATTTACTGTTGTATTATTTGGACCATGACATGTTTGTAATATATTTCTCATTATAGACACCTTCTACCTTGTTTTGTTTGTTTTGAGACAGGGTTTCACTATTTAGTCCAACCTGGCCAGGAACTTGCTATGTATATTAGGCTGGCTTAAAACCTAGAGGATCCACCTCCTCTGTCTTCTAAGTGCTGGGGTTAAAGACATATGCCACCACATCAGTTTACCTTAGGTTTTTCTTGGAGGAGGGATGGGCAAAGTAATATATTGATGACAGGTCGGAGTGTATCTCAGGTAGAGTGCTTGTCCCTGTGCACAGGATCCTGAGTTTGATTTCCTAGCATCATAGGGGATGTGGGTTGGTGATAGAATTAGGTGTGGTAGTTACCATCAGTAGTGGTGTAATACCAGCTGAGATAGGAGGATTGGGAGTTTTAGGCCAGCCTAGGCTATGTGCATACATAGCAAGACCATGTCTTTCTGAAAGAAAGTAGATGGAAGTTGCTAGTAGTCTTTTGGGTAGGCTCACAGTAACTATCTAAAGAGTTTCTAATAGTATTCCTCTGTAACTAGTCCTTTTTTACTGTTTAGTTTTGTTGTTGTTGTTGTTTTGTTTTTTGTTTTTCTCCTGTTTCTAAAAAGTGGGAATCAGGTACTTAAATTTAACTTATGTTTTTTTTGGACAGTATTAAATATTTTATTATGTCTTACCATTGGAAGGAGTCAGTACTCTTATCTCTACCTAGGAGACAAAAAAGACATTTTTAGAAGTTATGTGTAGAGATGGCTTAATGAGAAAAGATGCTCCAACTCCTCCTGCAGAATCATGCCACATTGTTTATTCTTTCCATCCTTTTTATCACAATAAATGTTTATCTTTATAAGGGGACTATGTATGTTGGCATTTCTGTTAATTTTGCTTTCCTTGAAAGGATTAAAAGCAAAAAGTGATCCTGCCCTTACCTGACCTCCATCTAAAGCCTTTAGCTGTTTCCTACCTTGTCCTTTTATACAAGTGATTGGGCATTAGCTGTGATAATATGCATGCATGTTTATTGGCATGGTTTTTTGTTTTTGTTTTTGCTGTGTCAACAACTGTCACACCTGCTTTTGGAGCTCTGGCCTTTACTTGGACATACAGTGGTCTCCGGCTGGGTCCTGCTGTTGGGGACTGCAGCATGGTTGAAGCCTTTGGCACTCATAGCTCCCATAAGGCTATCTGGGGTTTGAGACTTTCCTGAACATTTTATTGCAGTGGCTGGTGGAGTGCTGTAATGCTTTGCTTTAACTCAGTGGTCCTCAACCAGTGGGTCATGACCTCTTTGTGGGGAGGGTCAGATCACCCTTTGACAGATCACTTAAGACCATCAGAAAACACAGATATTTACATTACAATTCATAACATTAGCAGATTTCAGTTATGAAGTAGCAGTGTAATACTTTTGTGGTTGGGGGTCACCATAACATGAGGAACTCTTAAAGGGGTTGTATAGCCTTAGGAAGGTTGAGAACACTACTCTAACTTGAGGTTTCCTTACAGCCAGTCTGTACTTTTGCTGTCGTCTCTTCATTAACTTCCAATTATCCACATTGAGTGTCCATTTGGCAACAAACTGTAAAGTATACTTTTGAATACTTTACATTCTGTTATTGGTGATCATGATAGCAGTTCTAAAACGAATTAGCACTAGAGTGAAGAAAAAACTCAAGAGTTTTATGAATTTATTTGTTGGCTAGTGTCAGTTCATTTTTTTCTTTGGTTTTATTTTTAATTATTCCCTAAGATTGGTTTACAGATTGATTTTGTTCATTGGACCCCATGGCTGAACTTTTAAGGGTTGAGAAGAAGTATTTCATGAGGCACATACTTGGCAACTCTAACATAGGCAGTTAGTATAGAGCACTTTGTGAATTCACACAGTGATGTGTGATGATTCAAGACCACTTAGGTTCTGTCTGTAGTAGGACTAAAGATGGACCTAATTTCCTGCATATCAGCTGATGCTTATCTAGCCACCCACCACTGCAGATTTCTCAAAAACAGCACAATGAATACTCATACACTAATACTATAATAGTATTAGAGTAATAGAGTATATACGTCAGTGTTAGGTGTGTTAATTCATGGGACATGCCCAATATCCCTAGCAAATATCCCATTTTTATTTGCATTTTACATAAGAAGGCCTATCAGAGTTGGTTGAGCTAGTTCAGGCTCTCAAGCATCACAGCCACGTTACGCTATAATTAGGATGATTATCCACTTCCTTTCCACAAAGAGATCATCAGAACGAATCCCATTAAATGTTGAGTTCTTACAAATAAATGATGGCTTCTAGGGGGCCATTATTATTCCTCAGTATGGTTTCTAGCCCCACACTCAGTGTTCCTCATTCATGTTAATAGATGCTATTACTTCATGTATCTTCTTGTCCCACAATATTTGTTCATTTTAAGACTTTAGCTTCTTCATTTTATACTTTTCTTGCTGTTGCTAAACTCACCACCAGTGTCCACATGGATCACTCACATAGCCCTTGAGTTCCTATCTTATCTCCAGTGGTCCTACATCCCATTTTCCATCAGTAACTTTTATCACCTCCCAGATTTAGGATTTAAATATTTTTCTGTATGATCCCCACTGATCCTTTATTCCCAGTTCTTTTACTATGAAGCTTAACTACAGTGTTAATTTACTAGAGCTCTCATTCTGCTAAACATTGTCCTCAGTTTTTCTTGGCCTAGCTTAGAATCCATGGTCTTGTTATACCCCCCCCCCCCACCCACCCCAACACATACACACACACCCCTTTTGTCCTGTTGTACTTAGCCAAAATCAACATTGTACTTATACCATTCTTAAACAAGCACATTCAGGCTGCTTTCCCTTGTGCAGTCACCAGTACACAGCACTACATGCAGTTTAATTGGCTCTCTTTTGTTCCTTCTCTTCCCTAAAGGGGGGGGGACATATCCCCCCTTTTTTCAGTTTAGTTTTAACAAAACAAACAGAAAAGAGACTGCTGTTAGCAAAGGCTTACAGACAGCAGTTTTAATATGGTCATGGGAGAAGGACTCAACTTTTCAGGGATCAGCATGTGAGAGTAGATCACTGGAAGGCAAGGAGGCAAGGTTTTTGGTGCATTGGGGAAGCTTAGTGACACATTCACTGACTACATTTGAGAAATGCTTGTTTCCTTATTGGTAGAAAGAGTACTCCATAGAAGTAACTGTCAGTTGCACAAAAGAATGGAGTCATTTCTACAAGATTAGTATCTGTTTACATGTGCATCCACTGCCTTCCTGCCATGGCATACATGTGGAGATCAGAGGACAACCTTTAGGTGTTTTCTCTCCTTCCACAGTGGGTTTCAGGGATTGACTTAGGTTGGCCACAGGGATTTTTACCAGTGGGCTGTGTTGCAGGCCCTCTTTTATGTTTGGCTTCATTTCTCTCCACCAGCATAATTGTCTTGAAGTTTGTGTACCACCACATTGTTCCTTTTATTTGCTGCTTAGTATTCTGCCTTTTTTTGTTGTTAAGTTTTTTGAAAGGGGTTTATGTTTTTATGAAACCAACTTTATTATCTTTCTCCTTTAGTCTTTGTATCTTATTTGAGTTCTGACTCATTTCTCTTCAAAAGAGTTAAAATATCTCAGACTCTTACCTGGTTAAGAAAAGCTAGACTTGTTCTGCTTTTACTTATATTACTGTTAAACTTTATTAACAGACTGTTTATGATTCTGGTGTTTGTGTGTTCTTTTTGTTGGTTTTTAGCTTACTAAAGGGCCCTAAAATTGCTGTTGATTAAGTTACTGTTATCGGCAAAGGAACTGAGGTTCCCACAGATTATTTGACTGCTATGGTTTACAGCTCATGATCATGCCAAGACCAAAAGAACCCCAGTGCTCTCAAATCTCAATTCACTACTTGTTTCTTTGGGAAGTTCTGTTCATGAGCTGTTGCTGAAATTTCATTGTCCTGCAGCATGTGCCAAGTGAGTTTAGTTCCTGAACTTATCACTGCAGTGAATGTTGACATGGAGAGCAGCATTGTTAATAGCTTTCTAAAAGAACCAGAGTTTTTCCTTAAAATTTTATTAAATGAAGACATGGAATTTAACACTTTTTCTTTTTAAATTCTTTCCAAAGGTCTGTAAACAGATATGGCTAGGATTATTTGACGATAGATCTTCAGCAATTCCAGACTTCAGGGATCCACAAAAAGTGAAAGAGTTCCTACAAGAGAAATATGAAAAGAAAAGATGGTGAGTAGTTTAAAGCCTCCCAAATCACAAGTGTGGTTGAGATTTGATTGACACAGTTGAGGTAGACAGGCAGAACTGAAAGAATTAAATGATGGTGGGTACAGTCTCATTACCTTTTGACTTTTCATTAGATTTGGTTTCCAGAAACCATGGTGATATCTTGCATGTGTACAAATAAAGCCAGTCTTAAAGTCAGAGAATGGAGTTTGCCACTAGCTAACCATAGAGGTCTGGAGGTCTGTACAGACAGGAAGTGAACAGGATATAAGCAGTGAGAAATAGGAACTCGTTCTCTTTGTCTGCTGAGACACGGAGATAAGGTGTGGCATGGCCTGCTCCTTCTTTCTGGTCTTTTAGCATTTTCCTCCTGCCATGGAAAGTCAGTGATCTCTCCTAATTTCCTCAGATGTTTTAGTCCTGTAATGCTTCTTTCCTTCCAATCTTTATGTCTTTAGCAAGTGTTTATTGAGTAGTATATCTTCCAGGCACTGTGTTAATCTTGTGTAGTAGTAATCTGTTGTGTCTTGCTGGAAATCTTTGCTCTATATATCTCTTTTTTTCCCCCATCCAAGAAATTAATTTGCTGCTTGGGCCAGAAGGGAACATTTTCCCTCTATACTACACTAAAGCCAGTATGTCCCTTCAACAAAACTGTGGAGCTGGTATTCAGTATTCAGGACTCCTCAGCTTTAGCTTTATGAAGTAACTAAGTACAGTAGTGACTAACTGTGGTCTCTTTTTATGGCAGTCAGTACTGAATAATACATACTCCTTCTTGGGGGAGTAAGAAGATGAGAGAGTTAAGGATAGAGAGGGTGGCTAATTGGGAAGCCTTTTTTCCCCCCTGAGGAACAGTATTTTGACCCAAGGAGTGGGAATCAAAGGTATTATTGGTGGGAGGGAGTTTACTATAGTTTATGGAGCAGATTTCCGTGAACAGAAAACAAATTTGCTCTTAGTTACTCATTGTGTACAAACTATATTCTAACATTGTTTTACAAGTTTAGATTAACTAGGACTCTCTTCATATGTACTTGATGCATTAGGTAAGAATAGGTGAAATGTACCAGTGAGATTTTGGTTCAAAGAAGAATATTAGAAAATATCCCTAAGGTGATAGTTAAATATGGTACATAAATGACTTCTAGTTTTTCAAGACAGGATTTCTCTGTGCAACAACCCTGGGTACCCTGGAACTAGCTCTGTAGATCAGCCTGGCCTTAAAGTCATAGAGAACAATTAATTCTTTTTAAACAGAAGCCATCGTCCTTTTGTCATTCTTGTTCTTAAGTTTCTGGGTTTTCTAGCCTATAGATAGAACTGTTCTCCTTTAGTGGCCCTAGCATAACTGTTTCTTTTTGCAGCAGTGTTAATTTTCTACAGTTCAGAAAGTCAGTTTGTGGTTAGGAGTTAGCTAGCTGGGATTTTAGCTAGCTGAGAGAAGCAGGAATGTGAGAAAGAAGGAATGTGAATGCAGAGTTAAGTCCTCTATTCCTTTCCACATTCTTAACAGGAAGTTTTCCTTCAGATCACAGTCTTAAAAACCTAAAACTCTCAGATAATAGTTTGCTAATTTTTCCCGTTTCCTAAGAATCACAGTAGTTTAAGAATATTAGAGATACAAGCTTTCTAAATGTGATGAATTGGGCTGAGCGTTGGTGGTACATGCTTTTAATCCCAGCACTTAGAAGGCACTTGGCTGTCAATTTCAAGAGCCAGGATCTACATCCACCTGCCTCATGCTGCCCTAATATGATTAGAGAACAGTGAATGGGTTTGCACATGGTCTGAGCAGTAGCCACTGAAGGCAGCTAGTTTCTGAGAACGTTTGTTGTAGGAAGCAGTGCAGCAGTATGGCTCTTTTCATATAGATACTTATTCTTACTCTAAGTGGGACAAATAATTTTAGCCGTAAACTGTTATTTGTCATATCTTGTGGTCAGAATTGGCCATACTGAAGAATTCATGTTTTTAGTGCAATGCCAGACCATTAGAGAGCATGAGTTTGTTTCATTCTCAGATCTCATCATATCTTGTATTTACCCCGATAAGGTTCGTTTGTTTGTGATGGCTAATGGTTGGATAATAGCCAATTTACTGGCAACTAATTCTAACCACACTACAAATGTGAATTTGTTAATCCCCACAGCAGCTTTATAGATTAAAAAAGATGGAAGCATGGAGTTGAAGTTAATTTGCCCAAAGTTTCACAGCTGTTGAGAGGTAAAGCTGGGGTTTGACCTCTGTCTCTGGGAGAAATGGTTTAGTTACCTTAACTATTATTTCTTGGCTCCCGCTTGAGCTGGTGAATCAGAGCAAGGTGGGAATACACCTAAAATTACAGAGTTGCCATGTAATCCCTTCCCTGGAGATGAGCATTGCTGATACTTGAGCATTGTATCTCTGTATTCTTTTCCTCCTATCTTCATTCCTTCCCCTATGTGTGTGACAGGCAGAGATCAAACCTGAAAAACTTGAGTCACTTGGGCATGTATACCTGCCAGATAAGGGGAATAACTATGCAGATTTATAGGCATTTTAGCATAATGTATATACACAATTTTTTATTTATAGATATTTGTTAGCTTGTTTCCAAGTTTTTTAAAATTAAGATTGCAAGAGTAATATAATGTGTATCTATATATAGTTATCTAGTTACTTGCTAAGGATAGATTTCTAAGAGTAATATGAGGTGAAGAGCACATCTGAATATGTGTTTTCATTAGATAGCAACTAAATACTCATAGTTCATATAGATCAGAGGTAAATAATGCATTAATCTACATTTTTATTTGATTTCAGTTCATATTCTCTTATGGCTTGCTTCTTTGGTCCATTTTAAAGTAAAGCCTTGTTTTTAATGATTTATGCATTTGGGACCATTAATTATAATGAAGTATTTCGTCACCATTTCATTCATCTCCAGATATTTATGATCTTAAGAGTTTCTCATTTTAAAATTTACAGCTGTGTGTTGTGTAGGTCTTCTGTCTTCAGAAAACAGTTGCTATAGTGTATTGTCAAAGGAAAGCAATGAGTAAATAGTTGAAACAAGTTTAGTGACTGATACTTATTTTTCCTTGAGTAATTTCAGATAATAGTATTAAGCTGTCAGTTCTAAGTGCTACCTTTTCAAGTAAGATTAATATTATAAGAGTGTTATATAAAATTTAAATTTAATATTTTAAATATGATTTTTCAAAATTGTCTTAGCAGTCTGTTGTAATTTTCACATTGCAGGTATGTTCCACCAGAGCAAGCCAAAGTGGTGGCATCAGTTCATGCATCTATTTCAGGGTCTTCTGCCAGCAGCACAAGCAGCACCCCTGAGGTCAAGCCTCTGAAATCTCTGCTGGGAGATTCCGCACCAGCACTGCACTTGAATAAGGGCACACCTAGTCAGGTGAGGGGTTGGTAACTCTTTAAAGATGTAGGGAAGATTGAGTGCTAAGAACCTTCAATATTGTATCTGTCTGATTTGTAATATAAAACATGAAGATTGTTTGATATGTGGTTGGAATGTGTGTTTTTGACGCTCAGTTTGTCTACCTTGATGTGCAAGTCTGATGACCAGCAGAGTCAGAGAAGAATAGCCTTTGTGGTACTTTAACAGAAAACATAACTGATTATGTGGCATGCTTATTGTCATTGAAATGTGCATGGTTCTGCAGTGTAACTTACTCCCCAAACTGAACAGACTGAAACTATTTATATGTTGATACTTAAATATTTATTTTGTTTAGGATAATGTTAGGGCTGTTACTGTGCAACCTTGTTACAATATACTATATACATAAATGTTTTGAAGCAAAGTTCTGAGGATTAAATCCTGCCCTTTGATATTGTATTCTAGGCTTCTGAATAAATCTTGTTTTTACAAGACTTAAAGTGGAAACAATGAAGTCAGGATACTGTAACTCTTCTTGTGTAGAAACACTTTTTTAATATAGTGAATTAGAGATAGCTGTTATGTAAAACTTAAGCAGATCTGACTGAAAACTCTTTGTAGTTAATACTTCAATGTGTAGCTTAGAAACACCATGAGTAAGTAATGTGCTTGTAGTCCCCAGTTGTAGGTCGCTCTCAAGGGCAGCAGCAGGAGAAGAAGCAGTTTGACCTTTTGAGTGATCTTGGCTCAGATATCTTTGCTGCTCCGGCTCCTCAGTCAACAGCTACAGCCAATTTTGCTAACTTTGCACATTTTAACAGTCATGCAGGTATGGCTTTTCTTGATAACTTTGCCCAGGGTATGTGTAAATCATTTATTGTTTATTATAAAGTATCAGTGTGCATAGTCCATTGAGGAATTTTGGTCACTCATACGGACATATAACCACAGTACTTTAGGGAACTTTTAGATGGGCTCATATGTAGTTCAAGCTGGCCTTGAACTTTGCTGTGTGCTAAGGATGGTTGTGAACTCCTTATAGTCACACTCTACCTCCCGAGTGCTGAAATTAAGGGCATACATTCAACCATGCTCCCACCCCCACCTTCACCCCCACCCCCACCCCGTTTTTTGAGACAGGGTTGCTCTGTGTAGCCTGGAACTCATTTTGTAGACCAGACTGGTCTCAGAAAGAACTTGGATTAAAGCTGTGTACCACCACTGCCTGGCCATCTACTAAAAAGTACCCAAGTATCACAGAAAAGATGATATGTGACTTCTTTCCATGAAAAAAATCATAGAATATTCTTCACTGTGTGTGTGTGTGTGTGTGTGTGTGTGTGTGTGTGTGTGTGTGTGTGTGTGTGGGTGGCAGTGGGGGGGATATACATTACACGGTGAGTGTGGGGGTCAGAGGACAATTTGTAGAGGTCCCGTGCTCTCTCCTTTTTCATCAGGTGGGTCCTGGGGATTGAACTCAGGTCTTTGGGCTTGGTGATGTTCATGTGTATGTGGATACTGCTTTTTTACTAGGGAACATTACAAATGACCAAATGTGAATGTAATTTAGGTATTAATCTCATGTTACTAGTATTATTTAAGTGATTTTGAAGCAAATTTTAGACATAAATAGTGGTGTCTGTGCGCCCTCTCTCCCCATGTGTGCTTTTCTGTTCACGCATATGTACATGGACCCTCTGGTTAGCATCAGTTAGTTGTCTTCCTCAGTCTCAATCCACTTAACTTCTAACACAGGGTCTCTCACTGAACTTTAAGTTAATCAATCGGCTAGACTAACTAGCTAGCAAGTTCCAGGAAGTTGCCTTCCTAGGGGTCTACCCCCAAGCACTGGGGTTACAGATGCGTATTACTGAACCCTGCTGTTTTATATTTGTGGAGGGATCTGAGTTCAGATTCCCATGCTTTTTGTAGTAGCTGCTTTGCTGAATGAGAGTCATTGCCCAGACTCTAGACTTTTCATTGTTAAATATCATAGTAAGTAGTAGAATCATTCTAAATAATTGTAAAAGTTCATTAGTCAGTATTCAGTATTCAAATTTTCATTCCTGTTCATAATTTTGTTTGTATGTATAGTTTGTGTTAATGTGTATAAACACGTACACTTACTCTCATATATAGTGTGTATGTGGTTTGTTAGAATTAGTTCTCCCCCCCCCCCCAATGTATCCTTTTAATTGAAATCTATTTTGGTTAGGTTTCTATAGGTTGTCCCTTCATTACCCCCTCCCCCTTTTGGGGTCATTTGTTAGAGAAAGGAGTAGGGTATTACTTAGGGCTTAAGAGACACATAAGTTTAAAAACTTAAGACTTATTTATTTGATTTGTATTTGTGTCTTATTTGTATGTGTGAATGTATAATGAATGTGGAGGTCAGAAGAAGGTGGTGGTTCCCTGAAACTGGGGTTCCAAATGGTTCTAAGTCACTATGTGCATAATAAAATTGAACTTGGGACTTGGGTCATCCTCTACAAGAGTATCACATGCTCTTATGCACTGAGCTGTGTCTCTAGCCCCACTTTGCTTTTTAAAGGAAGATAGAGCAGTTGGGTCTCTTGAGTTTAAGGCCAGCCTGATCTACATGGCAAGTTCCAGGCCAGCTAAGGCTACATATTGAGATCTTGAATATGTTAGAAATCTGAAAATTTCAGTTGTTGAAATATATGATGGGTTTCCTTTTCCTGTGTTAACCTATCTACAAAAATTCCCCAAATAAAACTCTCTCCCCTTCCCTTTTTGGTAACCTATGTAGCAAAATGCCGCTTGACCAAACAAGGGACCAAAGTCATGATTCCTATTTTGCCTACATGTATGTTTGTGTACCAAGTTTATAGTCCCTGAGGGGGGCTAAGAGGGTGTGGAGCCCTCTAGAACAGGAGTTACAGACAGTTGTGAACCACTATGTGGGTGCTAGGAACTGAACCTGGGTCTTTGCAAGAGCAGCAAATGTTCTTAACTATTGAGCCATCTTTCCAGCCTCTGTGAGTTTATTATGGTTTTATCTCCTTTTTCAAAATGCTTTTTAATTATCTTATTTGCCTATTTAAAGTTTAGAGAACTCTAGCATTTTGATCTGAGGTTTGTGTTATAATTGCTGGCTTTTACAGTATCTTTAGCTTTTTGGTGATTGTGTCCATATACATTTCCCCCACTTTTATGTGCTCTTGGTGGACATATTTATAAACGTTAGATAAACCAGAAAGTTGAGCATGATAGTACATACACATCTATAGTTCCAGCACTTGGGTAACTGAGGCAGAAGATCATAAGGCCAGCTCAAGCTACATAGTGAAGGCCCTGTTTCTCAAAACTAAAAAAAAAAAAAAAAATAAAACTTTATTAATTGATAAAACCATCTCTATATCATTATTTTAGGTATTTAAATTACTTTCAGATTTACCAAGCTCACTATCATTTTAAAATAAGTTACTGGGCTGGGAAGGTGGTTGAGTAAAATGTTTGCTATGTAAGCATAATGACCTCAATTTAAGAGTCTCTCTCTCTCTCACACACACACACACACACACACACACACACACACACACACACACACACACACACACACGATACAGAGCGCAGCGACTTGGGAAGACACTTGCAGTCAGCCTCTGTACATTGTTCACATACACACAAATAAAATTAAAATGGATTTCCTAAAATGTAGTTAATGTTCTGGAATAGCTTACTTTTGTTACTAGAGTTTTCAAAATAGTACTGTGACTAAGGGTATTGTGGAGAAACCTATGACTTTCTAAAGCATTTTTGGAAATTTCTGGAAACTGTTTAATATGCACTACTAATTTGGGTTAAAAAAGATCTGATTTTTTGACTTGATTCTCTTTAAAGTGAGTTATATTACATTGGCATTTTCATAAAATTCTTAAATTCATTTGTCATGTCTTTTCAGTTGTAGTTTTCATATTCATTAACATATGTTGTCCTTGCCATTTACAGCTCAGAATTCTGCAAATGCAGATTTTGCAAACTTTGATGCATTTGGACAGTCTAGTGGTTCGAGTAATTTTGGAGGTTTCCCCACAGCAAGTCACTCTCCTTTTCAACCCCAAACTACAGGTAGAGCCTCTCCAGCATTATGCTTAAATGTTTGCTTTAAAAAAACAAAAGTTTCCGAATGTAGTTTTGAAAAACTAAATTCTCTAATGACCTAATTTTAAAGTAGTTCTATTTTGCAAAGCTCTGGGGAAACCTGAAATCTTTGTTTCTCTGAACTCTTTGGTCATTGTCTGCTGTCCAGCACCCATCCTCCTCTTCCTGCACATGGTTCTGCCTTAAAATTCCCATCCACGGAGGTTGTAAAGCAACAGTTTTTAAATACATGAAACACAGTGATTAAGGCTGATGATTTATCTTTCGATAAGGAAGCTAATTGATAGCTTCCATAGAAGTAAAAATAAGTTATTATATGGGGCAGCAAGCTTAAGAAAAACATTTTAACATTAGTCAGATATAAATTTTTAATGATCACTATAATCAAATATGGAAATAATATTGTGCAGGAATTGGTTTTCAAGAAGATTCTTCCATAAAGTGTACTGTTTTCAGAAATTCATTGAACCCTTATTTAGCTTTTTGGCTATTTTTTCTTTCAACTTTTAACTCTGTATGTGTTGTCTTAAAACCTTTTTTTTTTTTTTTTTTCCATTTTCTTTTCTCCCCCTCCCGCTTTAACTTTCATCATTTACATAATTTCTGGCTGTCCAGCATTTAGAGTACTTTCATCTAGCTGCAGTTTTGGTGAATTTACTTCAGCTTTTCCTCTCCAGGCTACCCACAGTAAGTGCTGTGTCCCATAGGCATCTTTTATTAATTTATATGCTTTTTGTGTTACTTCATGTTTTTGAGTATGTAGGTCATCATCATTTATAATGATAAGGCTTCATAAATTTGTTTTACTCTCTCATCTCTTACTAAACTCAGAGTTAAAGATAATTTTAATGAAAGTTTATTTAATAATTTGAAATAAAATATTTATAAAAATCTTAAAAATTTTAGTATTTATTTTGTTTGCTAGCTACTCACAATAGATCATTGTCTTTTTACATGTCTGTGCTAGTTTTAGCTGATTTTTTTTTTTTTTTTAAACCTAATTTTTAAAATGGAGACTTGCTGTGCTGACCAGGTTGACATTGACCTGGCAATCCTCCTGCCTCAGCCTCCCGAGTAAGTCAGATTATAGGCATATGTCACTATGCTCAGTTTTCTTTGAAACAACCAGAGTTTAATTCTTGGAAAAGGTCAGTTTGTATTTGGTCTACAATGTCAAAGAACAGATTGATATAAGTTTTGCATAGCTGGCAATTTGTCCTACTTGTATGGTGATACTGTTTTGACAGTTTAGGAAGAAAGAGCTAGTACCTGTGTAGGACTCAAAGCAGAGAAGAAGGCGCTGGCTGTAGTCTTGATGAGTGCTCAGCAGAGTCTCTAGGGTGAGAAAGCACTTTACAGCATGCTGTTGACTGGTATGTGAATAGTGCTTTATGATGCCAAAAATTACTGTCATGTACTTTAACTTTTATGCCTTGAACTACCAAGGTAGGAGTTAGTTTTACTGTGAGTGAGCATCAGGCTGTTGAATACACATTGAATTTGCTGTGTAGAGTTAAGTAATGGTTCTTCAAGTGGAAAAGTCACGGATTTTAAAAAACTTTAAAACCAGCATATTCTTAAACATTACTCAGAGTCTGTTGAAGAAATGTAACGTGATTCTACTGTAGCTGGAAGTAATGTCATTACAATGCTTCCATGACATCTCCACCTCCATAAACAAGCTCTGTTGTTTATTCCAGGGAAGATACTGTTAGGGCCTTTGAAAATAAAAGTCACATTAATTATACGAATGGCCTTATAGGACACTTCCCTTAGGCAGAAATGATCACAAATAATCTACCAGTGAGATTGAGAGAAGCCTAGAAATTTCATGCTTTGTTTATTCTGTTACAGGTGGAAGTGCTGGATCAGTAAATGCTAATTTTGCTCATTTTGATAACTTCCCCAAATCCTCCAGTGCTGATTTTGGAACCTTCAGTACATCCCAGAGTCACCAGACAGCATCAACTGTTAGTAAAGTTTCAACAAACAAAGCTGGTTTACAGACAGCAGACAAATATGCGGCACTTGCTAATTTAGACAATATCTTCAGTGCTGGGCAAGGTATCAATGTGTAAACAAAAGAGATACTAATTTGTATAAATTGCATATGATAAAATCTGAGGTGGCAATTCTTTTCTCACTTGTATAGAAGTTATGTGTACATTAAATGTTTTGAGTGAAGGGTTGTTGACATTTTTGCATGTAAAATATCAACTATAAAATTGAAGATGTAAAGTTACTTTTATGAACAGTGATTTTCAAAAGAAATAATTGAAAATAATTTTGTTTTCAAAAATATGCTTTACGATTCTATGGCTACAAAGGGCCAACATTTTTCATTTACTGAGCTGATCATAGTGCTATTTTGTAATTTCAATCATATATGCAGTTTGAACTATTTATTAACATTTTGGCATTTTGACACACACACACCCTTTTTTGTTTGTTTGTTTTTTGGACAGGGTTTGTCTGTGTGGCCCTGGTTGTTGTGGAACTCTCTGTAGACCAAGCTGGCTTTGAACTTACAGAGATCTGCCCGTTAGTTTTCTAATGTATTTTGTAGTAAGTTTTGCCCTTTAGACCAGTATTTCTCCTGTAACAATGTATAGCTCAGTAGAGAACAGTGGGGATGTTCCTACACTGGATTTTGCATCTCGATTTCATCTCTAAACTGAGAGGTTATAGAATTGAGTTCTTGGACTTTATTTCGTGAATTATTCCACATAAGGCATTTAGAGCACTGCTTAGCACAGGGAGTATTCATTAATGTTTACTGTTAGAATTATCTCTGGGTTTTTTGTTTTGTTTTTTCTTTTTTCATGGAAAACTTTGGAAGAATGGCACTTTTAATAGATTATATACATTAGGTCCATCATATAAATTTATGTGTTCATTTGAACAAAACCAACTGTTCTTTAAATCCTGTCCATTTAATGTTTAGATCAAGTTAGTGTTGGGTTTACCTGTGATTCATGGCAAATATAGTTAATGAACTGGCAACATAATATTAAAGTTTTGGTGTAACTTCTTTGTTTGTTTGCCTCCAGGAGGTGATCAAGGGAGTGGTTTTGGGACCACGGGTAAAGCTGCTGTTGGTTCTGTGGTTTCAGTTCCCAGTCACTCAAGTGCATCTTCAGACAAGTATGCAGCGCTAGCAGAGTTAGACAGTGTGTTCAGTTCAGCAGCCACGTCCAGTAATGCATACACGTCCACGAGTAATGCTAGCAGGTACAGCTGTCCTAGTCAGCACTCCTGACTTTGACCTTTTGGTTTTCTATGTCTGAATAACATAGTTAAAAGGGACTTTTGTGGGGTTGTAACTTAACAATAATTGAATAGTTTTTAAGTTGAAATTGAATATAATTTGCTGTTTAAAATATAATTCTTGAGTATTTGCCATATTTTGTCAAGTCTTAGAAATCTTAACTCCTTTTCACTCCTGGATGCTAAATGTCAGAGAACACAAATTTCTAAATGGACAATTACATATGGATTGTACTCAGCAGTTAATCCATTTAGCAGTCAAGTTGCATATGTCAGGATATAGTTCTTAGTCTGTGTGCACCAAGCTGCACTACCAATGTAAGTTCTCTAGCTCATCATTGTCATTTAGTCTTATAGACTACGCACACACTTGGATGCTCACATAAAACTTGTAGAAAGGAGTTCTAAAGAACAGGAAGACTACGTGTTTAAAATATCAGCCTTGTGTTGAATAAGGTCTTGTGTAGTTCAGTAGTTCAGGTTGGCTGTGAGTTCATGGTCCTGTGTCTCTTGTCTCCAAAGTGCTTATAGACATGTGCTTCCAAACCTGGAAGAGCATTAGACTTCCAACAACCGTTAACACTTATAGGGAGTATACAGCATTGTAGTTATTTCTTTTGGTCCATTTCTGTTACTATTATTATTTAGTTAATTTCCCTTTGGTACCTTTTCTAGAGGGAAATTCTAACAACTTGAGATGGAATAAATTGAATCAAAATAATAAAATTTGGTATTATTTTGGTTCACTTCATTAATATTATCTGTGTTATATTTTAGTAATATTAACAAGGTACTGAAAGGCCTGGATACATAGATGGAATCCATGTGATAAATGGATTATTGATATTGCATTGTGGTGCATTATTGTTTTGCAAATATGATCTGTGGAATGCTTGAGTTACCTAAGAAAGGTCTTACAGATCTCTGAGTTCAAACCTCTTTCATAATTCTGAGATGATAATTTGATTTTTTAGTGATTGGCATTTATATTGATATACACAAAATACAAAAAGACAGGAAAGCCTTGCTGTAGAAATTAAGGTAGTATCATGAGAACAGGCCAGAGTATCGTGTTTCCTTATGTTGCCTGGGCTATAGTGTTGGACTTAGGATTCTTACTCATTCTTTCAAGTAGCATGTGACACTGTTGCTCTCTTTACCTTGCCGGTAGTGTTGATTAGTTTTCCTAACTACTATTCTTGGTATAATTATAGCATTTTCAACCTACTTAGTTTTCTATTAAATGTGTTTTCTGTATGTTAAGTTAGCTATGTATCAAATAGTTTGGGCGCATAGTAAAACATGTGGTCACCTTGAAAGAAATTGACCTTGTTAAGTTTTGGGACAAACCAGCTATTCGTATTATGGTGCTTTGAATTTGAGTATTTGTTGGAATTAGTATGATCACTATAAAGACTATGCTGTGTGCGGGAGTGGTGCTCAGGGATAATGCTTGCCCAGCATTTGATTCCCAGCACCATGAATGGGCACAGAGGTGCATACCTTTATTGACACTACCTGGAGATGGAGACAAAAAGTTTGGAAGTTCAAGGTCATTGTACATGCTATATGAAACCTTGTCTAAAAAAAAAAAAAAAAGAAACAAAACTTGTTGAAATTGAATGTTAGAATTCTGGGAAATTTGTGCGTTCTACCATAAACTTGAAAGTGAAGATGAACTTTGATTTAAGTTTATTGATAGGTTTCAAGTCTCCATTTCAGGCTGACCTTTAGGAAACTACCAGTTTTGGTGTTAAATCAAAGAAAATGAAATGTTCTTACTTGTTAAGTATGTTTATTACGTTCGTGTCCATCCTGTTCTTCAAAGAAATATTATATATGTATGGACTAGTAGAAATATACAACAGAAATACTTAATGCTGTTGTGTAATGGAATCGATTCTCAGATGCATGTTTTTTGTTTTTTTCCCTCAATTTCTATATACTACTGATTGACAAAGGTAGCATGTATAAACAGTTTGTTACTGGAATTTCAGTAATTTTTCATAATGTAAACTTACCTTGAGTTACTGGTGAGAGCCGCAGTGATGTGTAGTATAGTTCATTTTTATGTGCTTCTACATCTTGTAGGTAAATGACCTTGTTTCTTTATTAAACGCTGACTCTTGATCTTCTTTGCAGCAGTGTTTTTGGAACAGTGCCTGTGGGTGCTTCGGCTCAAACACAACCTGCTTCGAGTGGTCCTGCTCCATTTGGGGGTATGTGCTTTTCATAGAGAACATTGTTTTGGGGGTGTCAGAAGGTAGGAAGAGAGCAACACTTTATTATCAAAAGGTTCACTTTTCTGTCTTGAAAAGTATAGTGAAGAAATTTTAAAAGTCTTGAATATAAAATATTAGAATTTTATAGCATATTTTATACTTCTTTAAAAGCTACCCCTTCTACGAATCCATTTGTCGCTGCTACTGGTCCTTCTGCGGCATCGTCTACAAACCCATTTCAGACCAATGCCAGAGGAGCAACAGGTAAGAAAAAACTGATCAAGGAACCATAACTATGGGGAAAGGAGTTTAATTATTTGTTCATTATTTATTTACTCACTTTTTATAAAGCATTCCTAAACACAAGGCCTCTTTCTGCTGAAGCGTAGTGTAGGAAACAATAGGTGTGTGTGTTCAGAAACAGATGTCATCCAGTATTTGGAAAACCAAGGCAGGAGGATAGTGAGTATGAGGCCAGCCCGAATCACATAGAAAGACCTTGTCTAGCTGGACACATGCCTTTAATCCCAGCACTCGGAAGGCAGAGGCAGGTGGTGGATCTCTTTGAGTTCGAGGCCAGCATGGTCTACAGAGCTAGTTCTAGGACAGCCAGAGTTACACAGAGAAGCCCTGTCTTGGGAAAAAAGACAAATGCTACTTAAAGTTTGTGAAATTTAGGAATTTAACAGTAACAAGGAAACTGAGAAGTTATGTTTCAACCCTTCTGTCTGAAACTTTGGTTTTCTTCAGTTAAGGAAGCTCAAATGTGGGAAGGAGAACTTGATTGACAGTAATAGTTCAGCTTGTTTGGTGCCAGAATGGCTATTAGTCATTCAGTATTAACAAAACATTTCATAAAAAGCCCTGTGCGATTATATCAGATGAGTACATTTTGTTACAGTAACTCTAATTAAATAACTCTAGTGTCTCTTTTCAGGGTTCCTATTTTATGTTTCTTTGGTTTTTGTATTTTAAGAGAGCTGAGGATCCTAGGCATGTATTCTGCCAACTAAATTATATCCGTTTTCATTTATCTTTCACTACTTTTTGTTTTTATTAATTCTGTTTATCCTCCTATCTTTTTCTATACTTATTTCATACCTAGGCCATTCACATCATTCTCATTGTATTTCTCCCAGTTTTGTATTAACTACCATCGACTGGCAAGGCATGTAAGCAGGTGTTAAGTGCTGTGGCTAGCTATCCATTTAGTTCAGACTCCATAAACTTTGTAGATTGGAACCAGAGCTTTAACACCAATTACAGCAAGTGTTGATATGAAGATTTAAGAGTATATCATTATAACATATCTCTAATCATTAAGAATTAGTAATTATGATAAATGTCTATCACTGGAAATACTAAGAATTATGACAGTAGAGCTAGTGTGGTGATGTTAGTGAGAGGCAGAGGAAGATCAGGAGTTGGAGACCAATCTGGACTGCTACAGGGGGAGTCTGTCTAGACAAAGGAGCAGAAATTAAAAATTGTGATACAATAGTCAGAATAATAAGTATTGTATTTTGTTTACACAAACACCTTAATCATAACTTGAGTATTTGAAATGCCTATCAGATTTAATTTTAAAAACCAAAGTTTGTTCAGAGATTGGAGAGGTACCTAGATATATAAAGGTATTTCTCTCTAATGCCTCATGACCTGGAGCTCACACCGTGGAAGGAGAGAACCATTGTCCTAATGTGTGTTGTGTTAAAGTTGCAACTTGTGTGAGAGTATATACTAACTTAGCTCCAACTAAATGCTGTTAATGAGCAGTGCTTTTTGGGCAGATAGGTTGTTTGAAGTCAGATGCTATAAATCACCTCATGTGTTTGTGTTCTGTGTGTACATCAGAGTTAAAGGAACCTCCTACCGCCCCTTTATTTTTTGCTGTCTTTGAATAAGAAAGTATTATAAGAGATAAGACTCTATTTAGAATATATATATGCATATGTATTCTGTAGGGGATATAAGCAATATTTAATTTTGAAGTTTATCAGAAAGAAAATACTGTCCCTAAGTTTTTATTTCAAAAATAATTTTTGTTTGCTTTTATTTTTTTGCTTTTTTTTTTTTGTTTTGTTTTGTTTTGTTTTTTGTTTTGAGATAAGTTTTCTCTGTGGATCCCTGGCTGTCCTAGAACTTGGTATATAGACCAGGCTGACTTTGAACTCAAATCTTGCCTGCTTTTGCCTTCTGAATGCTGGGATTAAAGGCATGTACCATCATTCCTGGCTATTTCAAAGTAATTTTTGCATTGTAAGGGGTTTTGAATATATCACGTTGGCTATCTTTCTTAGGTTATTATTGGTTTGGCTAAGTTGAAACAAACATTGAAGCTGTGGCGCCACAATGCTTTACAGATACACTGTCTTTAGGAAGTTCCAGGCCTTTGTAGCACTTGAACTCCTGGAGGGGTCTTTCTTCCTCTCAAACATGTTAGCCCTATGAAATACTCTTCTGAGATAGCTTTACAAGAACAGTGTGTGACAGACAGTTCTATCCTCTTGAAGATTAAAAAATAAGTATCAACTTAGACTGTCAGCTCTGTTTCAGAGTAAAATATGGTGGTGCTTAATACTGGTTAGCTGCCACTGTTGACTGAGAATTTCTAAAGTAGTTTTATTAGAGAGTAACTGTGATGGTTGTGTGGTAGGGCTTGTGAATGTCTATAGCACTTGTGTGGAGGTCAGAAAACAGCTTTGGGGACCAGTTCTTCCATTGTGGGATCTAAGCATCGAACTCAAGCTTTTGTCTGCTGAGCCATATTGCTGACTTTGAGAAGTTTTAAAAGCAGTGTTCAATGGAAAGAATTCTGTGCCTCAGTAAGTGCATAGGGGATATGCTGAGAAAACACAGCTTAGTGAGCATTACTGAGGCAAGACTAGTTGAAGCCTTTAGATTTTAGATTTCTAAGAAGAGAGTTAAATGCATTGACCAAACCCCCCCCCTTTTTTTTTTTTTTTTTTATCACAGAACACTTGTCAGCCTTTTTTTTTTTTTTTTTTTAAACTTTAAAAGTAAGTGTGTGTGTGTATGCCCCCATGCCTGGCTCTTAAGGTTGTTAAAGTTATAGTATATCTTCACGTGATAAAACAGAGCTAAGATTTACTTTTGTTTTGAGACAGTGTCTCACTCTTCAGGCCTGGTTGGTCTGGAATTCATTATATATGATAAGGCTGGTCTCATATTCACAGAGATAACCCCCCCTCCCTGTTGCTGGAGATTCTCTTTCTTGTCCCACCAGGTCCTGCTCCTTCAGCTCCAAATGAACACACAGATGTTATATTAGTTATAAACCTGTTGACTGATGACTAGGGCTTCTTACTGGCTGGCTCTGTCTTAATTATTAATCCATTTTTATTAATCTATGTATTTCCACGTGGTCTTGGCTTACCAGAAAATGTACGGACCTTCTACTCCTTTGTCGACTACATGGTGACTATCAGAAACCTACAGCAACACCTCCCCGTGCTGGAATTAAAAGTATGGGTTGCTGTGCCCAGCTATGAAAGATTATTTTTAAGAAATAATTCATCAGTTTCTCTTCACTTGGTATTGTTCTAGGCTGTTAAAAGTGACATATTATAATGTGATTGATATAATTGAAACAAGAGGTTTCTCTTTGTGGATGAATTTCCATTGTATATTCCTGGGACACCCAGTGGGCAACACTGTGTTCTAACTCTAGAGCTCTTTAATGAAACCAGTTAACTTTTACTTTAACAGTAACTGTACATAACTTAATTGACCTTGGTCTCTTTATGGCTTCCCATAAGGCCTTTCTGGAGCAATGCATTCTCAAGTGTTCCCTCACGCTCATTTTGGTAGGTGGCCACAACTAGATTTCTGTGGCAGTTTGTCTAGCTGCTTGTGGAAGCTTCTGCTAGTGTTCTGGACCCTTGCATGTGAAATTAAGTTATTTCCATGTTTTAATATGGAGTGGGCATGGATGTGTGGCATCAAGGTCATGTTGTATTTAAAGTAACATGAAAATCCTATGTAATGATTTATGTTTTAATACTGAAAAGCATTGCTTACCTCCATGGTCACAGTAGAATGTTAATAGCTATTTTGATTATGTTTCTTACGTTTAAATTCATAGTATTTTAAGTGAATCCTTTTGGTGTACCAAATCATTTTCCTGCTTTATATCATGGAGTTTGGTTTTACCCAGCTGTCCAAGCTTTGCTTTGAGTGCTTCCAACAGTAACTTGTCAGTTGCATCAGTGCATTTTGTGTGCAGTGAAACCTTCCTGTCTCCCTTGCAATGTGCTCAGGCTTTCTTTCATTCACTTGCTTCCCAATAGCCTATTGTTCTTCCCTTCTTCTATTCCCTCTCCCTGTCAATTAGTAAAGAAAATAAAAACAAAAACCTTCTGTAGTCTAATTAGGTTCCTTGAGAAAATTTGCATTGTCATAAACATTAGGATTGCTGTGAATAACAATCTTCTCCAGTTTGTTTTTAGGTAAGAACATTTTATGGAGTGCTCTTAATATTTAGTGTCTTTGCCTTAAATCAGTCACCTTTGGAAGTCATGAAATTCAATAAGTAAACTGATATGTTTTTACAGTGTTACATTACTGTTACTTGCTTCACTAAGTCCCTCTCTGTAGCCAGTGTATCATTGGCTCTTGGGAAGGTGTTGTGTTACATATTTTCTATCAGTTACTCACACAGCCTTCTGCTAGTTTGTTCATAAACATGCTTGTTTATGTAACTAGAGTGTGATGTAGGCATATAACATAATCACTGGTGTTCCCACATAGATTCCAGCTCATGCTCTACCCACCAAGCAAAGCAAGCCAAGGAGGAGCTAGTAACATGGACACATGACCCATGTGCCTGGTAGTCTTCGTCTCTTCTAAAAATGCCCTCTGTATTTTTTTTCTAATCTATGTGTGTTTACCCCAATTTATGAAGCTCAGTAATCCTAGATATCTTTCTTCTAGTTGTGAAATGGGGGTATAGAAGTATGTGTTTATATATATGTATATATATATAAGTATATATACAGCTTTATATATGTATATAAACATATATACACACATACATAATACATATTTGTGTCTATATATTGTGTATATAAACATATAAAGATATATATATATGTGTGTGTGTGTGTGTGTATATATACACACACACACACACACACCCATGTAGGAACATCCTATGTCCTTATAATTGCATTAATGTTTTAAATAGAATTTCTTTCTTTGTCCTTGGCTGTAGTTATAAAACTGTAGTTTTAAATGCCCTGCCTTTTATTCTTGTTGCCCTATATATCCTATTATTTTTAGTGAACTCTTTTGAAGATATCTTAAATGTTTTTCTACAGAAATATGAACCTTAGTAATTAAAGTTTGGTTGTTCTTTCAAATTTAGATATAGGAGGACAGACTCAAACCCAGTATGTATACTTCTGAACACATCACAGTATGACTGGCTTCTGAAAGCAGACTATTATTTGACTTTAGGTAATTTTGTAGTGAAGATTTTGGGGAAGATTTCAAATGATAGTTTTAGTAGTTGCTTTTTGGTCACAGCATTTCAGAACAAAATTTTTTTAATCTATATTATAGTTACATTAGACAGTGCTAGTCTGTACAGACTTTGTCAAGATTTGGGGGTTTCAAATGCCCTTACTGTGTGTCTTGGTGTTTTCAGGGTAAGTACAGTGTATTCCACACTGTTAACTGCTGTGTGTGTCTCTGACCCACCTTTCTTTTCTTTTGTCAGCGGCAACCTTTGGCACTGCATCCATGAGTATGCCAGCAGGGTTTGGCACTCCTGCGCCGTACAGCCTCCCCACCAGCTTCAGTGGCAGTTTCCAGCAGCCCGCCTTCCCAACCCAAGCAGCTTTCCCTCAGCAGACAGCTTTCTCTCAACAGCCCAATGGTAAGCTTGAACAATTGGCTAGCTGCATGACGTCAGTCCCCTTTACATAGTGTTGTTGTAGCGTGCTTGAGACTCTCTTAAGATTGCTGTAATCTTATGCACTTAGTTTGACTACAGAAGAGAGCTTTTGGCAGTTCCGGCCACACATAAGAAGATTTATTGTGGTTTTGTAAATTTCCTTGACTGTATGTTAGGAAACATCAATGACTGTAAAGCCCTTTTTAGAATTTCCAGGCCTGTGTCTTATAAGTCCATCTTGTGTTTTCATATGTTCTTGATTTAAAATGGAAATTATAATTTCATGAAAAAATGGTTGCTGGTGTAGGTACATAGGTGACAGTTCTGCACTTGGACCTTGTTTTGTAAGAGGCTAGGAGATTCACTCAGCTTTTCTTCTTACCTAGTTGCTTACTTGCTGAAGTTTGAAATCCATACATTTCAAGAATGTCCTTGGGTCTTATACATTCAGTAGTTAGGAAATACAGTGCATAGAATAGTGATAAATGATGACATGTTTTATAAGAAATACTATGGTGTTGTGTAGAAGAATCCATTGCACATGACCCCTCTCAGATAGTCGCACACTCATCAATCAGTTAAATCCACCAGGGCAGTGACCTTCTATGGGCCAAGTTAGATCGTTTCAGAGCTCTGAGGCTCTCAGTACATGCCATAGGAAGTTTGTTTCTGGTGTCTGAAAAGACATAAGAACTAATGTTGCATTTCATATTGCTATCTGATAAGAATTTTTATGAAACTTGTATGACTGGGATTCGTCTCTTGGTGGCAATGTAACTGGTGGTTCTCTTATTTTAACAAGGTGCAGGTTTCGCAACATTTGGACAAACAAAACCAGTGGTAACCCCTTTTGGTCAAGTTGCAGCTGCTGGAGTGTCTAGTAATCCTTTTATGGTGAGTGTATTTTAGTTTTAGCATCTTAAAAACTAAGTTGTATTTTATTTTTGAACTAGGGAAAACAGAATGTGACTATTCCTGCATACAACTTAGTGGTCTGGTGGTATAGCTTATGTATGGCCCCTTATAATACCTGTAAGAAGTTAGTTGTCAATCATAGTAATGTGAAATGTATGCACTCTTATCAGAATTACACTTGGAGAAGCCATTGGATTTAGGGAAAAGGAGGCTTAAGAATGAGATTTTTTTTGGTTTTTGTCTTTTTTTTTTTTTTTTTTTTTTTTTTTTTAACTTAGAGGTACTTTTAAGTGCCAGGTTCCTTTGTAGGCAGTAGTCAGGCACTGTATAGAAGAATATGTATGAAAGGACATTGTAGTGTGTAAAAAGAAGTAGGTGATTTATAGTTTGTTGACAGCAACATTAAGAAATGAATTGTCAATAAACAATTCTTAACAGATGGTTGAATGAAGTTATAAATTTAAATACAATTTAATGCTTTCAACTATACAAACATAACTTCTGCTTATTTTTTCCATGTGTTTTTTCAATAGACTGGTGCACCTACAGGACAGTTTCCTACAGGAAGCTCATCAACCAACCCTTTCTTATAGCCTTATACAGACACTGTACTGGAACGAACTTTTATGTGATCATTACATCTCTCCGCCTCTTGCACTGTTGTCTTGTTTCACTGATCTTAGCTTTAAAAACAAGTGAAGTCTTTAAAAAGCCTGCATTGTGTATTAAACACCAGGTAATACGTGCAAAACAGAGGGCTCAGCAACAACTTTTCACTTGTGAATTGGCAGAAAAAGGTAGCGGCATCATGTATGTTAAAAATTGGCTATTATTAAGTTATTGCAGATCCCACATTCATTATGCTGCAGTACTGTACATATTTTTCTTAGAAATTAGCTATTTGTGCATATCAGTATTTGTAACTTTAACACATTGTTATGTGAGAAATGTTACTGGGGAAATAGATCAGCCACTTTTAAGGTGCTGTCATATATCTTGGAATGAATGACAAAAATCATTTGAAGCATTGCTTCTGGAAAGTTCAAAGTCAAAATCGGAAGGTTTTATTCATTCTTGAATTTTTCCTTCTAAAGAGCTCTTCTATTTATACATGGCTAAATTCTTTAAGATGTGGAGGACACCTGTCTGCGGAATAAAGCTGATCATGTTTTGCTACAGTTTGCAGGTGAACAAAATAAATATTAGAAAATACGCTATTGTTTTTGTGTTCTTGCTGCAATGCCTTTACCAAAGTGGCCTTAAATAATGAGTAGAGTTGAGAACATCTTGAATTCTTAAAGACTTCTAGTGACTAACTTTTTTTAAAAGGCCATGTAGAAAATGTATTAAAACTACTAGGACTGCTATATTCAGGACTGTGACAGTGGAAAAGCATTTAAATGTAGCTTATCAGATTCACCATGCTACTTCTAATTTCTCTGCAACTTCTTAATTTTGTGAAATTTGTAAATATGGAGAATTTGCATGTATGTGTATTTACAAGTATTTTTAAAGATCTTGAATTCTCAGACTGCAAAAGGCCTATTTTAACTATTTTTTTCTTTCTGTTCTCCTTTTTAATTGTCTTTGAATGTATTAGAAGCAGACATGCTTTGACTGTGACATGGTTGCACCTGAGTTTTTTCTCCTTCCCTCATTTTCTGGACACACTGATAACTATAGAACATTTGTTTGTTTGTTTGTTTGTTTTGTTTTGGGGTAAAGAAACAGGAACCCAGTGTTACCTTAAACTGATGAAATACTTTGTGTAAAAAGGTAGCAATACTAAGTTTAGTTAATCTTTTTGTTAATATTCAAATGAACTTGTTTATTTATATGTAGTGAAGCCTCATTTATCCCAAGATAATCTGGCAAAATGAAACACAACTAAGAGAAATGAAATGATTAAAAAAAAAAAGAAAAAGCTTTGAACAACACCCCTAAGTCATGAGTTTGTATGTAGAGTATATACATTTCTTTGATGTGAGAGTTTAATAATTGGATAATTTGATTTACTGGTCCATAGCATATTTGTGTTGATGAAAGGAAAGAGTCCAAAATGACAACAGAGAGAGGATGCCCTGCCAAAGGCCATAGGGACAGCCAGCCCTGTCTAAAGGATAGTGGTGTTAGTACATCTGGTAATGACTCTGTGCCATCCCAAAAGCTAACATTGCATACACAGTATGTAATATCTGTATGAAAGTATTTTAAAATGTAAAGCTTTGATTTTAGGTGATGTAAGCATCGGTTTGCTCAAACATTTTATTCATATTGGATGCACTTGCAGTGATGGCTATTACCATCGTGCTTTGAAGTCTGGGTGTTTACTTGGTTGTAGTCTGCTGCCCTCCTTAGCAGAAGGTGTGGTGTATATGTATGTACTTGACAAGTGACATGCCCAAAACTCAGCCCTGAAAATCCAGTTGCTGCTGCTCAGGCTCAGCTACACTTTGGGCATAGTCTTGAATTCTTTGTACATTTTGGGAGCTTTATCTATTTTCATGGAAGGAGAACTTAAATGTCTTTAAAACATCTGTTTGAGATTGTATTAGATTCAAAACAATTCATATGTACAAAAGTTATATAATTATAGGCCATTACCCAAATAACCCACCAGGCTTTCCATCTATTAAGTAAATTAAACAGTTGTTATTACAATAGTTTAAAGACTATTTTTTCTAGTAGACCTTGAGATGTGTAATTAAATGGGGGGACCTGTATTGACTTTCAGTGAGTGTTCGTAATCAAAATACAAGTACATAGATTTCAGAACAGCTCCAGTGTTAAAGTGGGTTTTCTCATGATCTTTCTCTTTTAACAATCTACCTCTTTTAGGCTTAAGTTTATTTTGCCTCTAGTTTAGTCATTGTTTTGAGCGTTTGGAGGACACTCAGTGACAGATCTTCATCCACCTGGCTTAGTGCTTGAAATACGTTTCTTGCTCTGTCTTTGATCAGAAATGAATTTGTCATTTAGGATGGCAAAAGTCTATGTTCAGATTTAAAACATCTTTTTCTTGTTTTTATGATACAAGGAATGTTTTAGGTTATTTTGAAAGTAGAGGATATATTGTCACTTTCTTCCATAAAATTATTTGTTCTTTAAGTTGGACACCCTTATCTGGGAGATGTTTTGGTCTTAGTCACTTCTGCTAGTCAAGAGAGTAACAGCTGCTGTCCTTCTGCCGGCATTTCTGAAACATGCTTCCCAGTCACAGTATTTTAACTGTTGAGAACCGTCAAAGAAAACTTGAGTTTTTCATAAGTTATATTTTAAATCAGTACAGAGGGATTTCTAAAACATAACTTTTAAATAAGGCTATAATAGTATTATTGTTTGTTAACCCAGATATTTGATATAAAATAACTTCAAAATGAAAACAGTGTTTATGTTTTGCCCACCTTTTTAATGTCAGGCTGAGCAGATACTCATCCTGGTTACCTTCAGACCACATCACACAGCAAAAAAGCACTGGAAGCTCACTGTGCACGGGTGAAATCCAGACGGTGAGAAAGGTGCACACTGTCTTAGAATTAGTAGAAAAGCAGATACAGCCTGAGGACACTCACATTAAATTTGTGTGTCTCTGGCATATTTACCTATGGGAAAACCTTGTCCCTTCTGGACTTTATGGGGTTGTTCGACTGGGAAGAAGTGAAATTCCAGTTGAAACCCTAAACTTCTTAGCATTAGTAACTATTTTAAGGTAGCAGCGGTGATGCTGTGGGTGTGGTGGCTTACACCCTTTCATATGTCAGGTCTGCACTGAGTGGTTTTCTTCTATCAGCTCATGTCATGGAATCTACAAGGCATAGAACAGGTAAGCTAGTTAGTTTTTATTTTTCAGAGTACTGTTGGATTAAATTTCGCTTTAATATTTAGGTGTGACTAGTTTCTCTTATTTTGAAATTTCAAGTTACTTCCTATATGTCCCAACAATACTTAAATCATTTAATATGAATTCTTTCATACTTTGATAAACTAAATATCATTTGCTCTGTAGAGTCTGGGTTTGTTGTTTTTGTTTTGCTCTTGTTTTTTTTTTTTTTTTTTTTTTTTTTTTCCCCTGACAGGGTCAATGATGTAAGCGATGGGGCAGCCTGTACCTCAAGCTGACACAGTGACTCATTTTATAGGGAAGCTAACCTTTATTTATGTAGTCTCTTCCTCTTGCAGTTTTAAAATTTGCTTTTTAATGAAAAATTTAAAATTGTATAAATTGGTTTATTGTATCCTCAAATCATTTGAACGTGTCTGTTTTAAAGCAGTGTCATTAACTTGTTTTCGCATGGTTGTATTTGAACAAATGAAGATGTGACCAGTATGTACACACCCATGACTGTGCTGGTGCTTCACAGGCATCTTTGAAGAAATGAACAGGAGCCTGCTGTGTAGTAGCAAGCTCATTTGACTAGCTGTCTGATGTCATGACAGGAATGCAGTTGGAAAGGAGCTCTAGTTAGACCACTTTAGTACAGCACTGACGTGTTATCTCCCAACTCATTCACTAGGGTCATTGCTTATCAGTCCTTTGTTGATTATATACAGACTCTGAAAACCTTTTGTTTTATAATATTATTAGTGATTCATTCTGTAAGCATCTGGACACTAGTGTATTCTTGAAAGGACACTGTATTTTGGAAATGTGTAATCACTGTGAAGGATTTAGAGAAGATGATGGTCTTCTCTGGTGTAGGGCTATACAGGTGCTGTGCTTTCTGCTGACATGTGGTCGGTGTAGCACCTCTCAAGGCTTGAGTGTGAGTCCCATGGGTGGAGCCTGGGCTTGAAGGGCTCCTGTCTCCCACCGGAGTGTTCTTGGTCTCACATCCGCTGCTTCCTTTAGCATATCCACGGGTACACCTTGAAAAGGTAGAAAAGGTAGGCAGGGCTTTTCTCTGGCACCTTTTCTTTTGACTTATGATTTTGTGTTGTTTACCCCCACTCCCCACCCCACGAAGACTTCCACCAAGATGGTTCATCTAATACCTTATCCATTCTGCATATTTTATGCCTATTATAGTTTGATTGTTTTGAATCTGTACTTGTCTATCACCTAGATCTCTGGGGGTTAATGAAAACAGGATGTTATGATTCAGGATTTTCTCAAAACAAAACAAAAAAAAAAAAATCCTAGAACATTTTATTTGCAGATAAATGTATCCTTTTGATCAAATTTTAAAGTGATTTGTTCCTCTCCAGGAACAATCTGAACAAATACTCAAAGAGCCTTGTGACAATGGGTGGAGTTAGTGGCTAAGGCAGCAAAGGTTCTAAACTGGTGTTGTATAGTCAATATTCCTAGAATGTGGTGAGTACAGCCAGGTTTTTAAAGGGTTAGAAGTTTTTATATATTCTAAATGGCATGTGTAGGAATTTTACAGTTGTGTAATGTACACAGGGTATATGGTAAACACTCCAGGGAAATACTGTTCCTGTATTCATAGTTTTCAGGAATGCTTATTATGTCTGTGTGTGTCTATGCATGCCTTTCATGGTTCTGACTTTTAAAAAGTCGAAATTTTAGAATCTGTTCCTTTGTTTTAACTTGGACCCCTTTCTATTTTACTATATGCAGCACTGTTCCATCATGTAAATGGCATCAGGGTCCAGAAGTGGATGTCGCTTTGGAAAGCAATATATATGCTTATGAAAATTCTTGATTTTTATCTGATAGGACATACCAGCTATTTACATTTGTTTTTGTATTTCCATCTGAGAAATTTTTCAGATCTCTCAGATAGTTTATCTTCAAATACTTGGAAAATCCCAGCATTTAAATTAAACTGCAAGGTCATTCAGTGTGATGGGGCTGACAGACTGTAGAAGCTCATGTCTTATTTTCACCTTAGTCTTTCTGTCACCTCACCTGTGACCCCTGCTCATCCTAAAAGAATGGCCTGAAGACTTTGTTTTACAGTTTTTAGTATTCTGCATCTCCTCATTCACCTTCTCTTGGAGAGGGAACCTTATGTTTATGAAAAGGAAGTACAAGCCTACTTCTTCACAACTAGAGCTCACTTGTCTTCAAAGTTAAGTCTAAAAGTTTTGATTTAGATTCCTTACAAATAGTAATATGCATCTAGTATGGTTATACATAGGAATTGCTTCCTGGTAAAGCTTGTTTTTAATGAGGAATGCTTCCTGGGTAGCAGAGTAAAATACCTTAATAACTGATTAAACTGATTAAGTAACTTACTCTGCATTTG